GGCCGTTTCCTCCGGAGGAACTGCTTTCTCTTCTTCAGCCAACAACTTACTGCGGGTGCGGCGGACGCGTTCGACACGTTCCCCCCGCCGCTGCTCAAAGAAGTCATGACGCAACTTCGCGAGGTCTTGCGGCACTCCCACCCCCATGAAATCTGTCACCTTGCGCGGCAGCAACTCGGTCGGATCCACTTCCTCAATGCGGCAGGCCTTCAGACTTCTGGGGCTGTTCAGCACGCCTTTGACTCTTGGCGCTCGCTCAAAGTTGTCCAGCGACACAACGACCGTGCGACCCTCCCCATTCATCGTGGCTCTGTTCAGCGGGTCCGACGGCGGTTTAAAGAGACGATGATTATGATTAGGTTGAAATCGACGCTCAGCGGCCGTTGCCTCCGGCGACTCCGCCGACACTGGCTGCACGGGAGGAGGCGAGCCTCCTCTGTGCGTGGTGGCTGGCGGTTGCTTCACCGCAGTCTCCGCGGCGGTGACGTTGGCGGCGGTGACGTTGGCGGCGGTGAGGTTAGCGGCGGTTAGCTTGGCGGCGTTGTCCACAGTCGGCGACCCGTCCGCTGGTCCCCCATATTTGTTGTGAAATATTAATTTTGTGTGCATCTCTGCCAGAAAGCACGCGTGCGTGTGCGTGTGCGTGTGTGGAGAGTGCAGTGTTGAGGAGAGACGGAGAAAAAGGGCGAGGGCTATGCGAGACGACGGAGAAGAACACGCAAACGCAAGCAGAAAACAAAAAAGAACTTACGGTGCCGTGAGAACCACGCAATGAAAAGCAAAAGTAGCACGGCATTCATGTCTTTGTAAACGCCGAAGTTCTGTCTTCTGTAAGCGACGTTTTTGGCAATTCCGCCTCCGACTTCTCGCACTCCGCCGGATAGTGTATGCAGCCAGCATCCCGCAGGGCCTTGTAGTCGACGACAACAACGTTGTTGTACCCCCAGCGTTGTAGCGCGGTGGAGCTGCAAAGCCCTCTCTGGCCACTGGATGTCACAAGAAGAAGCTCTGCCGCCTCCTTTTGCTGTGGAAGAATTGGACACGCCGCGCCAGACAGCAGATCGTGAGGGTGAAGCGCAACGGCGCCTGGAATGGGGTAGCGTTGGCGTTCTGCAAGGTCGCGGACGTCAATCATCACAAGGCCTTCTGCTCCAGAAAGCTTCGCTTGCAGCGTCATCGCATCGTACAGCGACGGGGCGCGGTCAAACGTGCTAAGTGGGACGTGCCCAGCTGTAAGGTATGAGGGGCCGTAGCGCTTGTTGAGGTTTGACACTTTCCACGCCGTCTTTGGTATCCACTGCGCCATCGCCTGCGCGCCTGTGGCAAGCACGGGTAGCACGACACTTGCGCAGAGGGCGAGAACGCCAAAAACAAAAGCGTACGAAGAAAAAAAAAACAGAATAAAAGCGAGAGTGTACAGCTCATTTTTGTTTGTTTTTGTTGCGGTGCAACGAGACAAAGAAGTGTTGGGCATGCTTCCTTCGCTGGGAAGAAACTTGGAGCCGCCGTGAACGTGAGGCCCCACAGCCTCAATGCAGCTCACTGCCGACCCCCTTTCCCCCTCTTTCCTACTAGAAAAATAATAATCAACAAACCTCCGAATTCCTTTTTTTACAATACCGTAGACAAGGGACGCACCCGACGTCCGTTCTTTTTTATTTTGTGTCAGTGTACGTTGGCAAGGCACATGCGTATGCGCCTGCGGCGTAAGCACAGGAAGGGCCCCGGTAAAAAATACTCCCGGTAGGGCACGTGCTCGAAGGAAGCCGCAAACAGGCAGGCAGAGGAAAAAAAAAAGTGTGTGCGCATGTGTGTATATGGTGACAACGCACTCCATTCCTATACCCATCAGCGCCTCCTTGCGTGAACCGCTTTGCAGCGTCACTGGCGCTGCGCTGTGCTATTCGCTTTCTCTAGTAGGCTGCCGCTACGGTCGCCTCTACGCCCCGGCGGTGATGAGCGCCCGCTGCACGCGACAGAAACGGTCCTTGATGAGCGCCGCCTGTGCCTCCAGAATGTTAATCTCACAGTCTGTAATGTCCTTCTTTCGAAGAATGTCGTATTGCAGCAGCAAGGTCGAGAAGAATGTGGCGGTCACCGCACCCACCAGAAATCCAGCGGTGCGGGGACCCATATGTGTCCGCTAACCTGCACGATCACGGAGTAAAAAGGAGTGTTATGATGACACGCGCACACGTGCGGACGCAAACAACAGTAACACGCCGATACATATGCATATGTGTGCATGTGCATGTGTATAATTGGTGTCAGACGCCTGGGTGAGCCATCCTTCACGTCCTTCAATCGCGGATAGAGCAGCACAAATAAGGAAGGCGCAAACAGCCCACCCCACCCCACCTCCAACCATCTCCCCCCTACCCCCCCCAAAAAAAAAAAAAAAACACACACACACACACACACGTGGAGACAAGTACCACCCCAAACAGCTCCGCCCGCCCCCACCTCACTCCTCAAGAAACAAACAAACATAGAATACAGAGACGCAAGAATAGATATACAACATCGCGGGAATCTTCCCCGACTGTGTCAACCCTTCAGTCAATGAAACAAGGAGAAAAAAAAAAACGGGCGCAAAGCGCTCATATAAGTTCACTTGTTCGTTTCCATGCGGAGAACCACACAGGTTTCACTTCCATATTACATTAGAACGGTTGCTTTCCTTAGGGTTTTTTTCCAGTATGATTTCCCCCGTAGACAGGGTTGCAACAGTTCAGCGTACGCCTCAGTCCCAAGGTGAAATTAGAGGTAGGGACTTCATTTCTATCCCGGTCTCTGTCTCGTTCGGCATACATTTCCATCAAGCGCAAGATAAAACCATCCGTCTGCCGTCCGTCCCGCAGAGGAGAGGCTATCACTTCCGCCGTTGTTGGCGCCTCTTCTTTTTCCATAATGAGCTTCGCAATCTCCTCACAGTCCTTCTTAGAACACACCTCCACACCCTCGTGTGTGTGGCTACCAATGTATTCACGATTTAGTTGTAGTGCCAGAAAAACCAACTGTGCCGCAAACTCTGAGGCAGGACGGCCCTCTTTTTCATAGGTATCATAAAGCCGAAGAAAGGAAAAGTAGTGCTCGCACCGACTCGTTTGATGACTCGGCTTTCGCTTCGCGAGGTCGGGAAACGTCCTGACCTCGCTAGGAGACAAGGATAAAGATAGGGGAGACAGGAACCTCGAGACCGTCCGGTTGGCGGATGCATTAAGGATGGCTCGCTTTGAGGCCTTGCGATCCAAACTCGTGGCATGCATCGTTACCCGACGGATGATATCAATAACAGGCACGCTGCCGTCATTCCAGCGCTCGTTGCACGAGACCAGGTGCCCCCCAAACTCCGTCACATCACTCATGGTGGCTGCCTCTGTGTTTCCTATCATGTTGTCGTAGAGGTCTTGGGGCACCAGGGCGCGAATGGCGGTGATCAAAGGCACCAACCAGGCCTTGCAGTAGTCTACCACCATTTCCAATCCATTGTCGAGGGCCTGATTGCGAAGATTCGGGATTATGGGGTCCATCCCTCGCTGCTCCTCTTCATAGGCTTCGCGGAGCCACTCGGTAACCATGCAACCGGCTAAATTAAAAAACTGCGCGTGTGGGCGCAAAGTCAAGGCGTTATCTGCCAGAATAATTATAGCTGACAAGAGCAGCGGTACATCCTCTAGTTCCACCACATTTGCGGCTGCTATCTTTTCAAGACCGTGCAGCAGCAAGTCACGTAAACGCGGGGCTGTGATCAGTACAGTCTCAAACAGTAACTCTCTCAAAAACTGAGAAAAGGGTTGAGTGCCACTATTTGCAAAGAGCTTAATAAAGCAATTTTCCTCACGGTTTAAATGGTAGAGAAACGCCGTGAGACTCGCCGACTGCTGGGTAGTTATGTCCCCATACACCCAAACGAGGGGGTGATCAATGCGGGCCAAAAAAACGTTTGATACCCCCGGGTGCACAAAGCTCAGAGACAGTGTGGCCAAAAAAGCCACAATTACTTCGTTGTCGGTGAAGATCAGCGTCGCCGGTTTTTCTCGCAGGATGAGGTAAAGCATTTGCACAGAGTCGGCGGCGTGGAGGGCGTTGTGATAGGCATTATCTGTAGCATAACCCTCAAAGAGAGAGGAGAGGAAGCTCAGGAGCTTCTCCACATCCATCTGACTGCTGAAGGAAAAGTTTGCAAGCACGCTAGTACACACTGAAAGAAAGACTCTTCTTGGGTCCTTCATCAACTCCCCGTTGAAATCGGTCACGTCACGGCTGCTAAAATCGATGCTTTCCACTTCCTTCACATATTTCAGTGTCTGATGCATGACCCTGTTCATTTGTCCAAAGGTTTCGGTGGGGTCTTGCAGGAGCGGGACGTCACGCTTCAGGTTGGTTTGAATACTAGCCCAGTTGGCGGGATTATTGTCCTGCAAATTGAACTTCTCCGCCCTGCAGTGGCTCGTAGCGTCAGCAAAAAGAAGACTCCGCGCAGGAGCATGACCCATGAAGAGGGCGTCACCAAAACACCTCCCTTCTCTTTCCCGCACGCCTTTTTCAGGTTCCTCATAGTGCGCGCTGAGGACGGCGGTGGAGAGTTTCCCTAGGGCCGGTCGCTGCAGCCCATTTTTTTTGTGAGGCATCCACACGCACACACAAATAATAATAATAATAATAATAATAATCCCGCTTTTGTGTCCTTCGCTACTATGGCTGTGTTAGTATCAGGCAGGAGCAGGGCGCAGGAGCACCGGTGACCTTTCAACGAAGTCACAGGACAACACATGTCAGGTCTTCACACGACTTGACAATGACACACAGCGCTCAATGCAATTTTAGGGTTAACGAACGCTTGGGAGGTGGTGAGAGCTCACGGGACTCTCGGCAACGTTCCCTCTTCTCTCTCACTCCCACTCTCACTCTTTCCCCTTCCACGGATTCACCTACCATTTTTCTCTTTTTCCCTTTATCTTGCCTTTATTGTTTTCTGCCCTTTTTTTTGTGTTTCGTTGTAGTGTAGTTAGTTTTCATCCTTGTCTTCCATCGGCATCATGATGCATCTATCCGAGGACCCGAGAGGCGTTTCACCTCACGATGACCATGAGGAACGGGAGCTGCCGCGACTGTAGGAGCGTCTGCGGCGCTTACGTTCTCTAGAGCGATCCCGACGCCGACTGTGACTGCGAGCGCGCCGCCTGTCACTGCGGTGTCTTGGAAGGCTTTCTGATCGGCGCCGTCTGCGGCTGTCGGACCGTCTGCGGCTGTCGGACCGTCCGCGGCTATCCGAGCGTTGGCCGTCTCTGCGTTCGCGTCGTCGATGAGCCCGCTCCCGTGGCTGCGTAGCCGTTGTAGAGGTTTCCACCACGAGGACCCTTCCACGAAACTCCTTCCCATTGAAGGTGTCCACAAACTCCATCGCCTGCGAGGGGGTGATGGTGAGAAATGCAAACCCTGGGGGACGTCTGGCTAGCCATGAGTCCTCGATGGTTTTCTCCATGGGCTTCAGGAACTCCAGCAGCTCCTCCTTGGTGGCCCGTTTGTCGATATTGCCGACGTACACACGCGTCATAACGCCGAGGGGGGCGGGGACAAAAGAGATCCCACTAAGACCTGCCGAGCACGCGAGAAGACATGGGCGGACGAGCAGCGGTGAGGATGAGGCGCAGAGCGGAAAACGACAAGCAAAGACTCCCACGGCGCCGCACAGCCCCGAGGAGGTGCCTCGCCAATCCAAAAAATGACGAGAATAATAATAATAAAAAAAAAAACAACGATAAACGGAACAGAAAAAAGAGGAGGGCGTGCTGGATGTACACATCAAACCAAAAACAAAAAAAAAACAACGCGAATCCCAAAACTGACGGGACTCCCTCACTTTTCGCTCACCCCCCATCACACACACAAGGCGGCAAGTACAACACGGCATGCTGACAAAAAGAAATAAAAGGTAAAACAAACATAAAAAAAAAAGAATCCCCACAATAATAATAATCGCTTGCTGACATTAACCCAATGAAACGACACCCCACCGCAACCGTCGAAGCGGCCAGCGAGGAGAGTGGCACGGCGCGGGGCAAGTCCCCCACTATGCCCCTCCTTCTCCTCCCAAAGAACAAACACAGAGCAGGAGTGTGTGAGAGAGAAAGAACGCACAAAAAAAAAAAGCAACAAATATCATCATAAATAAAAAGTCATGGCACACAAAAAAGTAAGAGGGGTCCATTAAATAATAGTAACAATAACCGCTCCCCCTTTCTATGCCCCCCCCCCCTACCCCCAAACAAAAATAATAATAATAACAAGAAAAAGAAAAAGAAAATGAAAAAAACACTTGCTTTCGTTTGCGTTTATCAGTCGTCAGCTACGCTTCTTGCCAGTCTGGGAGAGCAGGCTTGTCTTCACTGTTCCTTCTCCGTTACTCCTTGTTTGGGGACTTCAAAGCATGCCACGTCATTGAGCCACATATCCTCCCGACGCATTTGCCGCAGTAGACAATGTCAGAGTCAAACTCCACCGGTACGTCTTCCTTCCCAATCACGCGCTGCTTTAGTGACACCACACCTGTTCCTCGACTGTGTTTCACCTCACGCTTCTCGGCTCCCTCGAGAATGACAAGGAGAATTCGCCGCGTCTCAAGGTACTCCTGCACCTGTGTGACGGAGGTAACACGAGGCAGCGTGTCTTTTTTCCACCATGGCGCGTCTGTGTGCGTCTCATTCGACAGAACAGGCACCGTGTTTGGCGCAAAATCTGCACATATAGAGAGCTTTGGCTTCTTAATAACGCCGGCGGTGTAGTCCTTGACGATGATGTCGTCAAACGTAAACTCTGGGACGGGTTCCTGCGACTTCATGAAACAAGACATCACTGGGCGAACGCATCGCACAAGGAAGGTGGCTGAGACCGGTCTGTGCTCGGACAGCATCAATTCAGGGTCGGAGGTGTAGTCAACACACTTTATCCACGAATCAAGCATGCTCTTATACAGCACACGGGCACAGTAGCTGGGGGAGCTCTTCAGAACATATTCGGCGGATTCACTGCTGAGGCGGTAGGTTGGGGCAAATTTGATGGCTGGCTCCACAAAGTCGTGCAGGACCCCTGCACTACTCCGTTGGTTAACAAATTGATCATACACCAGCAGCTTGTCGTAATCCTTCAGTTGGGCTAGTTTTTCTCCGTTGGCGGGGTCAATTTCACAGCGATAATTAAAGTCTCCAAAGAAAAATACGTGATCAAACTGGTTTGTGACGTCGGCATCTGGAACCCCCAGACGAACCTTTCCGATAATTTCCTCCAACATGGAATTACGCAAGGCAAAGTGCTCATTGCGTGCCGGCAAATGGCAGGTGCAGAAACACAAGGAGGTTTCCAGGTACTGCATGGAGATGACCACACCACCTTTATTTCCACACGCTGATTTATTGGTGGTAGCTTGCGTGGAACCCTCGATATTTGTAAGCTTCAACATACTCCGTTTGCTTGCCATCACAACTAACGTAATATCCCACATGAACATGCTAGCAGCCGGAAGATAATCGTCACCGAGGTAGTCTTGCACATACTCCCTCCATTCATCATCGTGGCGGCGAAAAGAGGCTTCCTGTACAGCGATGGCATAGATGTCGTGCCTCCCCCGCGGCATCCATCGCTGGAGCTCCTCCCTTTTCCTGGGCGGGTGATGGCCGCAAAGGTTAAATGTCCCGCACCAAATAGAGATCTGCTCTGTGAGGCGCCTTGTGGCGTTGATGCGACATTCACCCAGTAACTGTCGCTTTACAGGCTTGGAGTGGACATCCAGGCATATCACAGACACAGCGTTGTCGCCGGAGCCATCAATAATGACGTGTGACCGCGTCTCATGCTCGCCAACAAGGTCCGGGGCAAATACACGAATGATGGAGCGCATGGCACTCGCCGTCTCGTAGAAGCGCTCCCGCTCGTTGGCGTTTGCAAACTGCACATCGTATGAGTGTGAGGCATCAAAAAACATCATCCTTAGTCGCGTCCTGTCGACAACGTTTTTCTCCAACTGAATCAACATTTTCGCGGCATGTTCCTTCCGAATGCGGTTATTTTTCGTCAGGTTGCAGAAACACTGAGCGAAGTGGTCCACTACCCAGACGCGCTTTCGGCTGGTGTTGATCAAATTGACGCTTGGGGTGTACCTCATAAGCGTGAAGTAGCCCTTGAGGTACTGCGGGTTTGTCACCTCGCGAAGCGGAAGCACGAAATAGCTGATACCAGCGGTCATGGCATCTCCCACCTCCTCCTGCTCCGCATTCCAGTTGGAGGCCGCATCATCGTCCTCCTTCCAGCCGTCCTCATTGACGAGGTCCTCGAGGGCGGCCTTCACGTCATCCACCAACTCCCCCTTCGTAGCGTCAGTGTCCTCCTCTCCCACGTCGCCGCCGTACTCCCCCGTCGCGAACGCCTCATCCAACGTACGCTGCCGCTTCTCCATCGCCTCTCCACTGTTGTTATCCTCTGAAGTCTCTGGACCCTCGTCCTCGTCCTCCTCTTTGTGCGACTCCCACGTCATTTCAACATCGTCTTCGTTGAGATTCGTTTTGGAATCTTCCTCCTCTTCTAGAGCCTTAAGGTACTCGGCCTCCTCGGCCTCCGCTGCCTCGTCAAAGGGAACGTACTCTTCACCGGCAGCTTGGAGCTCTTCGTACGCTTCCTGTGCTAAATGCGCTGCTTCCTCTTCCAAGCGATCCATCTCTTCCTTTTGAAGGGCCTCAAGTGCCTCTTGCTCGGACCGCATCCGTTCCTCCTTTGTTGCCCCAATGTAGAAGCTTGTGGCCTGCATCGCCCTCATAACATCCTGCTGAGTGACACCCTCAAATATGGAATAATACTTTTGCTCGGCGCGAATAGCATCCTCAACTGCCCGAATCTCATCCTCGCTGGGGTGGACGCCGTCATTTAGCTGCGCAAGAAGGTCACCCAACTCCGAAAAGTGGATGCGACGAGCGTCGCGCGACCGCTGTAAGAGCCACGCACGACGAACCTGCAGTTGTTCATCCGTTGGCTGGTGATCAAACCATCGTTTTCGTCTAGCTTGCTCCTCCGCTGAGACTGGCTTGTACGCCTGCATCCACGCCTCGCATAACACGGGGTCAGAAGCCCCTGCGGTCCTCCACTTGTTTCCACCTGCGGCGTAGTCCTGCACCATTTCGGCCGACTTCCACCCATTGGCATGGTACCAACGCTTTCTGCGTTCCAACTCCGTGCGGTCTGCGGGAAATTCCAATCCCATGCTTAGCAGCGCCTCTTTAAACGTACGCGCTTCCCACAAGGAACTCTCCTCGTGCCTCTGAAAATCTGACAACACAACGGGATTTTGCCACCATTCAATTTCGCCCAGGCCACCAAAGTACAAGATCCGCCGCTTTACCTCCTCCTCACTGGCCTGCCACTCACGTGAAGTCACGGACCCACTCAGAAGTCCCCTCAGGCTCGACGCACGCAAAAACGTGCTCTGCTGACCACGGGTCAAGTAGTCATCCCTAACCATGCACTTCCACCAATTCTCTTCATACCACAAACATCGTAATAGGTCGTCTTGAAATCCACACCATGTACTCTTCGCGTCTGTCCCAGGGTCAATGGCCAGTTTCCATAGGGCGGATGATTTATAATAGTTCATGCGAACATTAAGCTCGGCTCCAGAAACAGGTTTCCCCTTACCATTGGGTTCAGAGGAGCTCCACAAGGTTCCTTTAAGATCATTCAATTCGTAGTCGCTGCGTGCTTCCACGGACTTCCAAAAGTTCATCTTATAGTACAAAACCCGTTCCTTCATTTCTTCTTTACTGCAAAACTCCTTCCTGTTTGTGGGGAAGAAAGAGCCAGCTAAAGTCCACATCTTACCCTTCGGACCATTATTAAGGTAGTCCGAGATACATACCGGGCTCTTCCAGTGTTCCAGCGGTCGTTGGGTGTCATACGCACGTTGGTATGCCTCATTTTTCCACCACATGTTATTTTGAGACTTCACACCGGACATGATTTGCGAATCCGTGATGTCGTCTGCGGTGTCTGTTGGGGTCACCAAAACCATGTAGTGCCGACGATTCTCCACCAACGACAAGGAGGCAGCCATGCCATCCAAAACGCGGGGCTGAGACAGCGCTACTTGCGGTGAGAAAGCTTTGATGTGCGTGCTGTCGTTCGCTCCGATCATGTAGTAGGCAATAGAATTTGGGGACTTCCACCAACACAGGGTAAACTCCTCAAAACGTTTTTCACACTCAAGGCCGGCGCAGGCGTAGTAGCACACGCGTTCCTGAATTTCACTCTCGGAAGCTTGCCTGTAAGTACCGTGGGGATCACTTTTTGTCCACAGCAGGCCTTCAAATCCATTTTGAAGAAAATCCAACCGATATTTCGACGCCTTCCACCAGTACTTACTGAAGAACGCCTCTCGAATGCGGATCTCATCAAGGTGGGCGCGGAACCTCCTTGCGGATCCTGTGCTTGCAGCGGCAGCATCCCCCGCGGACCAAACGGTTCCTTGGGCTCCATGTAAGAAAAAGTCTTCTAAACAGTCGTGGTGGACCCAAAACAACTCTCCCATGGCGGATATCCTGGCTAACTCGCGACTCAAAAGGGTTTGTGAGACGCGACTATCGCGATATGGATGCGTCTTAAAGTAGCACATCCGTTTTTCCTTTTCCGCCTCGGAAACGCCATAATTTTCATTCTTGCAAAGTCCCATGGATGCCACTGCGGCGGTGGCGGCGCCCACCAAACCACCCCGAGACTCGTTTATGTTGTAGTCGTTACGCACCTCAGGCGCCTTCCACCAATTGGCAGCCGCGTATCGGCAATCGGCCCAGTACTTCTCCGACAGGCGAAGGTAGTAAGAGATGCGTACAACCTCCTCCTCATGACTGATGTGGTCCCCAACACCGTCATATTCGCTCTTGTTCCACAGCTTGCCTTCCTTTCCATGGGTGAGGAAATCCTCTTTGTATGCCGCAACTCGCCAAAAGACGGTTTGAAGAACTTCTTCGCGTCGCTTCAACTCTGCAGGTGTAGCAGTAAACTTTTCACCTAACGAGCAACTGAAGGCAGCGACATTGGCGGCGTTCCATTTTTTGCCTCTTAAGCCGTTTGTCCAGTAATCCTCCACGCTCTCAGGCGTGATCCAGAAGGGCTCAATTAAGTAAAGAAAGTGACACATTTCCCCATCCTCGAGGGAGAGCGGATGTGTAAGGTAGAACTCCACACGTTTTTTTAGTTCGGCCTCATCTGCCTTGTATTCGTTTTTCGTTCCAAGTCTTTCCACAGCAACATATGCGTTTACTGCACTGACCATACAGCCTGACTCACCATTGGCGTAGAAATCCGCCCTTACTTCAGGGGCTTTCCACCAATTGGTTTCCATGTTCTCCATCCATTCATCCTCGGGGTAGCCGCTAAGAACCTGAGCGCGAACGAGTAGGTGTTTTTCCTCTACACGCTCACCTTTGCCGAAGGGTCGACTCATCGTCCACAGCTTCCCTTTAATGCCATGTTGGCGAAAGTCCTGAAGGCATTCCAAACTCCTCCAAAAGTTAGCTGTGTAGAAAGTCTTGCGGTAATTTTGCTCTTCTGTTGAGGCACTATCCTTCCCTGCAAATCCACAGGTACCACTGGCCGAGTTGCACGCTTTCCATTTCACCCCATTCTCACCCTTCTCAAGAAAATCAGCAATAATCACCGGTTCCTGCCACCAATCAGCTGCAGCGATAAATTCACCGAGGTATTCATGGTCAGCGCTGTACTCAAGAAACCCATTGTCAAAAAACAGCATTCTGGAAGCCGCCTCAATTGGAGAGGAGCAGTTGATTCCTTCCAGAGCACGAGCGTCATCGTACGAGGCAGCACGTATGTAAAGGCTATTCTCACCATGGAAAGCGTAATCCGTTAAACCTGCCTGTGTTTTCCACCAACTTTTTTGATAGTACTGCTCCCGCAAATGTACTTCTTCACAAGACACAAAGAGACCAGTTACAGAGTTAACTGCATCTAACTCAATTAAACGCTGGTAACCAAGAACTACACGATCGAGAGAACTTGGTTCAAAGTAGTTCTGTCGCTCTTTCAGTTCGACGGCAGAACATTTGCCGGCTCCTTCAGGTGTTAGAGCGGACCATTTTGTACCTTTGGCGCAGAAATCGTTCCAATATTTTCTCTGTCTCCACCAATATTTCTCATAAAATCTTTTTCGTATTGCCAATTCATCAGAAGAAGCCGCCTCACCATCGCCCCTTCCCAGGATTGCCGCCAAAGCACTTGAAGCAGTCCATTTCTTCCCGGCGGCTTTGTTTTCCCAATAATCGGAGATCACTTCAGTGTCCTTCCAGAATTCCCCAGGAAATGCATGGTTCGCCAAAAGCCACTGACGAAAAAAAAAAGGACTCTTCCACCAATCACTATCCTTCGCGGCAGAAGGCTGATCAGAGCGCCAAAGTATCCCTTTTTCTCCAAAAGCCATGTAATCCTTAACATATTTGTTTTGTTTCCAGAAATTGTTTGCATAATAATCTGCACGTTCTTTTATCACCATTGCAGAAGCCTTATTCTCTCCATCCCCGCGCAACGCCGCAGTACGCCAAGCTGATGTCCAAAGCAAGCCTTGTTCCCCATGATTTACCCAGTCTTGGACATACTTCCCCTCTTTCCACCACTCCGTTTCACGGCAGGCAAGATACCATTCCTCTCTTGAACGAAGAAGAACAGCATCTGCAAGGGTTTTTGACCTGGGATCCATAGCCTGCCAAAGCTTACCCGCAGACCCATTCTTCTCATAATCTTGAATAATTTTTTCTCCCTTCCACCAATAGTTTTTAAACCAATTTCTCCTCCTCTCAGCTTCTTCTTCCGTGGCAAAATCCTTGATACCACGTACGGCTAATTCCTCATTTAACGTCTTCCAAAGAACACCACCTTTTTCAAAATCCGCTCGAAAAAATGGTTGTTTCCACCATTCCTGATCCATAGATGCAGCAGAAGCAAACCGTAGTGCAGGGCAGTCATCTAGATTGTTAGAAAAATAATTAACATAGGTTTCAGATTTCCACCAATCTCCATTTTTGTAATAATCATCACGTTCATATTTCTCCTCCACTGTACAATGCTCTTTGCTGCCTTCAGACAAGGCACACCAAATCTTTACGATACCCTTAGGCCCATTTGCGTTGTACCACTTCACCCGACGATCCAGCTCTAATCTGACCGCTTTCCGACGATTTCCACGACGATTATACCCAGACAATTCATCTGCTGCAGTCCACATACATCCATTTTCACCATTATCCAACCAATCTATAATATAGGGTTCTTCTTTCCACCATTCAGCATCACGGTACGCCAACCAATTTCGACGTTGAGCATCCGTTTTCCACCAGCACTGTACACGATACCATTCTTCACGCATTTGAATCTCAGCCTCTGGAGCTCTCATAGATCCACCTTCAACAACGCTAGTCCATCTGCTCCCCTTAAGGCCATGTTTTTCATAGTCCCAACGATATTCATCTCGCTTCCACCATTCATTGTCTTGAACAACACCTGAATTATCAAAGGTTGATTGCTTCGAGGTAAATCGTTCAAAAACACCCAGAATATCAGCGACATCTTCTGGCTTCATAACCTCCAAACCTTCACCTTCGTTTCCTGCGTCTTCCTTCTTTTTCATGGCACGCGCCCTATATTCCTCACGCCGACGCTGTCGCTCCGCAATGTTTTCCGCCCGCTTTTTCTCACGTTCCTCCTGTGCTTCCTTCAACTTGGCCATCAACTCCATATTTTTCCGCTCAATTTCTTTGAAGTATGCAATAGGATCTCGGCCCCCCTCTGTCAAAACTTTAGTGCGTGTTTTTTCGTTCACCTCCTCCGGATCAATACCTTTCGCCTTTAAATGTTCCTTCTTTAGCCATGCCAAAATTCTCTCAGGGTCTTCTTCCAAGGCCAACATATCATATACCTTGGCAAGCTGACGCACTCTTACTTTGGTAAAAACATCAAGCTCTTCATCAGTTAAATTCCGTTGCATCTGCAGCAAGAGTCGCCGAATAGGTTCACCTAAGTCTTCTAGAGAACGGCATGCCGATTCTAAGGACATTTTTTTCACCTTTGAAAACAATATATAAAATATATATCAAGGTGCCGTGCTCGTCACCTATATATTAAAACAATAACAAAAACGGAGTAGTTGGAAATTGAAGAAACTCTGTTTTTTTTTTTATGTTTGTCGCAAAAAAACCACACAAAAAATAAAATAAAAAAATGCCGATAAGAAGAAGGGCTGCCCTAAAAAAACAAACAAAGAGAGGAAGTGAGAGAGAACGACAATAGGGCCTTTTTGCTTTGACAGCGCAACACCGACAAATATATGAATATATATAACTCGCTATTCAGAACAAATTAACACGGGGGGAAATGGTACTAAAAAAAAAAGAGAAAGAATGGGAAAAACAAAAAATAATAATTGTTCAGATCACAATAATAATAAAAAAATCAATAAAACAGATTCAGTTAGTCCAATACTCATCCAACCATAAGCAGGTCACAAGACCTCGACGCCTTTTTTGATACAAGCAGTCTCAAAGTTGCTCAATGGTCACACAGTTCATCGATGATATTGCGCAACCTGTCCTCCAATACAAACCTTCTACGTCTCAATTTTGCATTCCCCGCTGGAGACAGAACCTCATATTATAACAATCCCTTCCATACACACGTACCCTCTATTTCTCTCTTTCAAAAATAAGGGCCAATAAATCACGGAAAACTCTCTCCCAAACAGCTGTCCCCCATATACAGAACACATACATAAAAAAAAAGGATTGCCAGTAATAAATACACACTATATCCTACATACAAGCATCAAAAATAAACCGTCCCCTACCATTTACACAAACACAATAGAAGCTCCAAAATAACCCCAAATAATACAAAAAGAACATAATTCCTCAGTAGTAAAATACTAACATACATAACTGCCTTCAATATTAACAAAAATGTTTCTCTTCTCCACGTGCAGTACATATATACATTGATTACCCACAAATTGACATTCTTAATCCTGCAAAACATCAACACTTCAAAAACTCATTCCCATAAAAAATACACCCAAATTGACGAATAAAAGCAAAAACGGCAAGTCAACAAGAAAACAAAATAATAATAATAACAATACCAATACACATACAACAATAATAATATAAAACCAAACATTCACCCCAATCAAAATTTTTTTTTAAAAAGTAGACCACGGTTAAGACTTTTAACGGTGCATCCCACTTTTTCCCTCCACCAATATATATATATATATATTATTCAACGAAAAAAAACACAAATAAAACACAAATAATTAATACCCAACAAAAATAAAGTAAAAAGAAAAATAACGGCCAAACCAGGTTCCAATTATTTTAGAAGTTTCGACAGAGATCCCACATTCCTTCTTCAAGACCCCAAAAAAAAAAACAATCACAAACTAATTAAAATGTGTACTTTCGCTCACAATAAACAGAAAAAAAAAACGTTGCACGTAAAAATAATTCAATAAATAAATAATAATCAACGTAGTTAAGACTCGTAACGAAACATTTTCATCCCCCCCACACACACACACACAAAGAAAAAAACAGTACACTATGGCCCTTGATCCCCTCTTCCTTCGCGTTGTGGCTTCGCGGGTGCGCTCACAACTGGCTTCTCCCCCGCGCACCCTTGCCCTCACACACTGCGCTCGCCGTGCTCGCCTGCACCGCACCCTCTGTTTCGGTGCGTTTGCAAAGCCCTTTTGTTTTGCTCTTCGCCCCTGCGCGCGCGTGCGTGCAAGGGGCGGGGGGTCAATTTGTTTGTATTCACCGCGGGGGCGCCGAGGTGGGGCGGCTTTCGGGGCGCAACGTTCCGCCTTTATGCCGCCCACGCGGGGGCAGAGCTGCTGCTTTGGAGCGAGCGTGTGCCTGGCGAGGCCGGCATCGCTGCGGGGGCGAAGGCGACGAATCGTTGTGGGTTCTGGCGGTGCCTATCGTTTCATATGGATTTTTAGTCTTTTGGGTTCTTCCCTTTTTTTTTGTTCCACGCGGAAGTAAAAAAGACCAAACGCTACTCGCTGCTGTGCTCTGTGGGGGTTCTGCAGTCACTACCAGCTTGCACACATACATACACACAATCGTTGCGGTTTAAGTGGATCCAGCACAAGAAGGGAAGCGAGAGAGAGAGAGAGAGAGAGTGAGTGAGTGAGCAGCGGTACATGCCCAAAATGTCCTGGCATTTGTTTTCTTCTGCGTTTTGCTTCTCCCCCTCTGCGTGCGGTCGATGTGCATCAGCGGCTGCTGATCAAAAGGATGTCATGGATCCATTCCAAGGGGCAACACCGAAAACTGCTGAGTGGAAAGAGGCTGCTGGTGCGTCTGTCACTTCCCCCCGTCTGCGCAGCCTTCTGAGGATTGGGGACCATTTGTTTGCTGTCGCTGAGGCTTGGTGCATCAGGAAGAAAGACGGCGCCAGCTTTGCTGGCACTGCGTCGGTGCTCCTCCATCAGATTTCTGATTCCGCAAAGGAGATCCCGATGACAGACGCAAGCCTATTTTGAATGCAGCTTAAAGAGACAAGTGATGCGTCTGGCAGCAATGCAGCGGAGATAACGCAGCGAACCGCAATGGTAGTTGAGAGAGATGTCTACATGCTGCTGGGAAGCTACAGCTGCAGAAGATCTGAATCTGAGCTTTCCGGTAAAAAAGGCTGGAAGCTTTTACTGGTGAACGAAACAGTTAGTGGAGAGAATGGGGTAACGAATTTAATCCAGTGGGGTGAGACCCATGCAGTGAAGGTTGAATCTGAAACTCATGCATTTTTGACTCGGTTGGTTGGCAGCCGAGAGTCGATTCTTGTGCTGAGTGACAGTACGCTTGTGTTTCCCATGCAGGCTACAGACAATGAATGAAATAATGTTTTGTTGTCCATGCGCTTCACTCCGTCAGGGAAGAAATGATAGCTTTCACAGTACATGACTGATGAGGGCTACAAGGATCTATCGATTGTGGAGTGGGGTGAAGACCAGAAACTCCGCATGATTGCTCCCTGCAAGGATGGCTATTACGATGTATACGAGTCCACTAGGGCTGGAACAAGATGGTACACGAATGGCGCGCCAATTTCCCGCGTGTGGGGCAATTCACGTGATCGAAAAGGGGAGGGCGCGCTAAGTGGCTTCATCACTGCAACCGTCGATGGAATTAAGGTGATGCTGCTCACCACGCCGGTGTATTCTGAGGAGAAGGGAGAGGGTCGGCTGCATCTTTGGATGACAGACAATGCCCGTGTGCACGACGTTGGGCCGGTTTCTCGTGAAACTGATGACGCCGCCGCCAGCTCCCTGCTGTACAGAGCTGACAAGAAGGAGTTAATTTTACTGTACGAGAAGAAGAGCGGAGATTCATACAGTCTTGTCGCTGTGAACCTGACTGAGCAGCTGGAGCGGATAAAGAGCGTGGTGAGGGCCTGGAAAGATATGGACACCGCACTCAAAAACTGCACTTCCAGTGATACCGTTGACTCGTGAGTGAAAGGTATGTGCGCAAAGGTCCTGTTCCCACCAAAGGGCTGGTTGGCTTGTTGTCAAACGCATTAACGGATGGAACTGAGACTGGCAAAGTATGGAAGGACGACTGCCTCGGTGTGAACGCCATGGTGAAGAATGAGGCAGCAGGCGAGCACGCGTGGGGCGTGAGGTTCAAAGGCGCTGGGGCGAGCGCGGAAAGATGCGTCTGCGTTGGGCGTCGGACTGCGCGACGCCTACTGCTGGGTGAGAGACTGAATCCAAAAGAAGGTGAATAAAAGGTGCGCAGCTGCCGCGTGGTTGCTGCGACGGCTGGTTAATTATTTGACTGCGCACGTCAGCGTCTGTCGTGGCGCTGCGGTGGTGGCGCAAGCAGCCGTCACTGACGCCGCTCCTCCTTCATGGAGGGAGCTGTGTACAGCCCTCGCTGCGGCGGAGGTGCCTGTGGTGAGTTTCACGTTGGAGAAGTTGGAGGGACACTACGAGGATGTCTGCCATGCGGGGTGGGGTCACGTCATGGAAGTTTCTGACGGGCGAGGAGGGATGCGAATGGAGGTTAGGGAAGGCAGGCCGCCACAGCCGTGGGATTAAAAGGTGGAGGGGGCGACTGTTCTCATGGATGACGGTGCAGTGTGGTTCCGCCCACCACGTCCCAGTCTGGTGGTGCCCACCTCCGAGACGTTGCCGTACGCACTGCTGCAAGGATGTGGTTCTGACTACTGTGTGTACTCCGAGGTGGGGCAGGTGTGGCAGATCGTTGAGGGCGATCTGACCGGGCTGTTTGGCACGCACGGCGGGGCGAACTCGGCGTCTGTGCGGCGTGTCTTGATCGGGACGCCCAGGTTTGGGAAGCCGGTGCCTGCTTGCTCGTGCCTTCTCTACCAGCTGCTGCACTACGACGCCGAGCAGCTCCACGCGGTGGCGTACTTCATTGGGGAGCGAGCGTTTCTGTTTGACAAGACCACCAAGACGGTGTTCTTTGGCTGTTCGACTCCGGCGATGGAGAGTTTTTTGGAGGTCTCCATGCAGATGAGGGGGTATATTGTCTGCGACGTGATGGGGCGGAGGAAGGTGTTGCCCGCCAAAATGCCTCGCACTGGGTGGGGCATGCTTGCCGTGTCGTCCCTAAACGAAACTCGCTACAGGGACTGGGAGGAGGACATGGGCGCCCGCCGGATCATCATGAACGGCCCTGATGAGAGAGATGTGACGGTAGTGTGTGCCTGGAGGATGCACGGAGAGAGCCTGCGGAGGGGCAGGCGGAGCAGTTAAGCGAGGCCGAGAGACGCATGAGTCGCTTGGGACCAGTCCGGCGTTACGCCTTCAGTCGCTACGGGAATGGAGTTGTGCGTGAGCTTCATACGCACATCGACCGACTCACGACGTGGGCTGTGAATTTTTACGTTGGGCTGGACAAGGTGGATTTGTGTGGTCTTGCAGCGTTCCGACTGGAGACTACTCGAAGATGGAGCGGGTGGTGACGGGGCGGGGAACGGAGTGCTTTCAGAACGCCCCGGGTTCCGCTTCGCTCAGTGCCGACGTGTTGGTGTGCGTGGCGAAGGTGATGCGGACGCGTCTCGACTTCATGACGGTGCTGATGCCGTACTCTGCGCTGCTGCCCTCCGCAGTGTAGGGGTACGCAATAGACGTGTTCATGTACGGGGACTTTGTGCGAAGGATACGCGATAAGCTGAGCGAGCTGCGGCCTCTAACCCCAGCAGGAGGGTGCGGGCCACGGCCATGCCTGCTGCAAATGAACCCACCGTTGTGCCCTACAGACGCGGTTGCGCTGCCGCCGAAGGTGCTTCATCCTGGGAAGATTGATGTGAGGCGCCAGGTGCTCTACGTGCCGGGTGCCGAGGGCTTTCCGCTGTTGGACACCTTTTTCTTCGTCGAGTCGCCGAGGAGGACGATGGTGGGGCTGCAGACAACCCCGGCAAAGGCACGCCAGATTGCGACCAACACGGCGAAGCAGCTCAATGATCATATGGCGGAGTTTTTTAACGGTTGGGAGAAGTTTGCCCGGAGTTTGCCGTGGGAGATTGTTTACGTGCAACGTGGTGGTAAGGAGACAATACACGCGTGGCAGGGGTGTGGAGCCTCCGGCAACGGGGCCAGTGCGGAGGATAAAAGGAGCATGACCTTTTGGAAGAGGAAGGTGCATCAGTACCATGTGGCGGTGTCGTATGAAGACGTAAATGTCGTATGCAGTGAGTGAAACAGTTTCTTGTTTTCCCTCAGCCTTTTTTGATGTGCTTCACTTCCACGAGTACCACGGTGTGGCTGGGAAGCAGGCGATTGCGTTTGGGTTGTTGGTGGCGGTGGTATCGCTGCGAGAGTTTGTTTTTGTGGCTGCAGAGTGAAGGCATCTGCTGCATGTGTCTTGTAGTGGTGGTGCTGCGTGCCCCGTTTATTTTGTATTGTTCTTATTTTTTTTTTTATTTTTGCTGTTGTTACGCTGCACCCCACTCCCGCTGCAGTGCGCTGAGGGAAGTGGGGGGCGTTGGGGAGTTTGTGGGGGCCGTGATGGGAGGTCCTGCCGGCATTGCGCACTGCGTGGTGATGCTGGCGGGGTTTGAAGGGGCTGGCCGGGGGAGACGGTAAGCGATGTGCTTATGAATTTGTTTATTATTATTTTTGATTTATGCGGGGGCGTCACAAACTGCGGATGCTCCATGCGGGTGCATGTGGGTGTTTCTTCGGGCGGCGGCGAGTGTGTGATCGTGCGGCCCATGCGTTTGTCGGTGCGGCCTCAGTTGTGGACTGCCGCTGTTTTTTGCGGGGTGCCCAACTGTGGGTGCGGGCGTTGACTATAGTTGTATTCATTTTATGTTTTTTTTTCCCGCGGAAAAGGTCTGCGCCACCACTACTACTGCCACCACTAATAATGCCGCGGCTGATGTTCAAACGGAAGCAACACGGGGAGTTTCTTCAGGCGATGTGCCAGCCACCCCGCAGCATGCCGTTTCTATCCCTGGCGGTGTTTTTGCTGTTGGTGTGTTGTGCCGCTGGGTGCCTCGCCGTCGATTCCGCCCGGAAGCACCGCTGCGGATTTGGCGAGATGATGGGGAGGTGGCCGCAGCCGACTGCGGTGGTTCGTGATGTGCCGCGCAGAGGACAGGGTGAGATGCAGGCGTACACTGTCGCCGCACAAGGCGTGGGGAGTGAGTGGGCCCCGATCCGCATCAAAGTGTCCGCGAAGGACATGGACGACTCGTCGAAGCACTGCACCGCAGAAAGGCCTTGGCGCCTGGTCAATGGCAACTGGCAGGAATGCACAGATGACATGATGTTGACGGAGGCGAAGAAGGACATCGTTTTGAAGCAACTCCTCCCGGCCGCAATTAAGATGCACACCGATCGTCTGTCCGTGAGGCCTGTGGAGGGTCCCATCCCCATACCAGATCATGGTATAGGGATGTGCACTGGTTTAACCATCCCTTCCTGGCACCACACGATCGGCGTGAGCGGCGCCGACCTAATTCTCTACGTCGACGCTCTCCCGTCTAACGCCGCTACCGCATGGGCGTTTCGCTGCGTCTTTCTGGAGGACGGACGTCCGTACGTTGGCGGTGTGATCTTCAACCCCAAGCACATACGGGCCACTGATGAAACTGTTCGTACTGCAGCGCACGAGATTGGGCACGTTCTTGGGTTTGCGTTCAATCGTTTTTCGAGATTCAATATGGTCTCCCAAGTCCCCAATGTTCGCGGGAAAGAAAAAGTGTGGGTGGTTTCCTCACCGAAGGTGAAGGAGCTGGCGAGGAAGTACTACAACTGCCCCACACTTGAGGGCATGGAGCTGGACGAGGGGAGTGATGGGATGCTCGACCTAAGCCACTGGAAGAAACTCAGCGCACAGGACGAGTTGATGACTCCTGACTTCCCGTCCATTTATTACTCGGCATTCACGCTTGCGGCATTTGAGGACATGGGTGTGTACAAGGCTAACTACGACATGGCGGAGCAGTTGCGGTGGGGCAACAACTCTGGCTGCGGGCTGCTGGAAAATGAGTGCTTCACCAACGGCCACACCGACTACCCTGAGTTGTTCTGTAAACACCCGTCGACTAGACAAAGTCTGCTCTGCACGCATGACCGTCTTTCTCTGGGGTACTGTGGGCTATATATTCACCCCCAGCCCCTTCCACCGCAGTTGCAGTACTTTGATAACCCTGCATTTGGAGGTTTGAGGACTATGGACTGCTGTCCGTTTGTTGTTGAGCGTGAAGCGTCTGGGTGTACCAACGGAAACACTGAATCTATCCCTGGAAGCTTCATTGGCTCGAACTCACGGTGTGTAAAGGGGGAGGGGCTTCGTTTTGATTACCAAGAGATTGGCGATGTGTGCGTGAACACGCAGTGCAGTGGGGGTAGGCTGAGGGTGCAGTTCCTTGGCGACGGTACGTGGCACGACTGCAATGAGGGTGAGACAGTTGCGCCGTCGGGGGGCGAATGGAGCGGGGGGAGCATCAGGTGCCCCAAATACGCCGACGTGTGCGCAGCCTTCCGTAACACCAGGGATCTCCCAATACCAGTCGTTGCCCCACCATTGGTGGAGGAGTCAAACCCTGCAGACACAAATGATGAATCAGGCGGCACTAATCCTGAGCCCGATGCCTCGCCCTCAACGTATCCGTCGCGCAATACCAACCCGGAACGCAACCCAACCAGCATGCGTGGTGAGGTTACTCCGAACCCGTCCGGGAAAAGCAGCGTTGGAGGCAACGGGAATCGTGGAGGGAAGGGATTCGGAATCGGTGACACTTCAGTTGCGGCTGTTGGCCTCGGTTCCCTTGCGCTTCTCATCGTGGCCGCCGCCGTGGCGATGGCGCCTCTCTGAGCAGCAGCAGCATCAGCGGCTGGGCATAAAAAAAATGTGTGGTAGGCTAATAATGTGCATATATGTGTATATATATGTGTATCCGTGGACTGTGGAACCACGCAGTCAAGATGTATAACACGGTCATAATGCAACGTACCCACACACATTAACTGCGCCTCGGCGCTCCTTTTGTAAAGCAACGAGAATTCCCACTTTGTACTTCCACCACTTCTGCGAAAGACATGGAAGTGGTTCTTGTTTCAAATTATTTTTTTTTTGGTGGGTGATCTCTCTCTTCCTGGACTGTGCTCAAAGGGAAGAAGGAGAGCATGCGTGTTTGCTGGTCGTCCCACTTGTTTGTGCGTGTCCCCACTACTCGGTGGACGCGCCCACACTTCGGCTTCACTTTACGGGATGTGTTTATTGTGTTTTGATGTTTGTTTGTGTTTTTTTGTCGACTGCGCCCATTCCTCGCGCTGCGTGTTTGTCCATCCATTACATTTCTCTTCCTCCGTCTAGCTGCCATTCGTGTTGATTTGCCGTCTCATTGCATCTTGCAGTCCTTCCTTTTCTTTTTCCGTTGTTTTTTTGCCGTGCATGTCCTTTGCATGTGTAGGAGCTAACACACACACACACGCCATGTTGCTCACGCTGTGGAGCGGTGTGAACCTTTGAGGACGCGTGAAAGCACGAGTGTTCTGGTGGCGGCAGCCCTCGCCAACATGCCAGTGGCGCTCAAGCCGTGATGGTTTGGCCGCGAGAACGGGATGGAGGAGATGTTGCTGCAATTTCAGTCCGTGCGGCCGCTACCCCGCGCTGCAGACGGAGGAGGGCTGCGTCTTCGAGTCCGTCGCCATCCTGCGGCACATCGCGCGTCTCGATCTGGGCGGCGGCTTCCTGCAAGGCTGAACATCGCCGGAGAGCGGACGGGCGGAGTTGCAGGCAGCTCCTCTGGTGGGGCCGGCAGACCGGTTGCAGTGCGGTGGTGGTGCAGTGCCCGGTGCCGGGGGATGCGAGGTGCCTGCGCTGCCGTTGGTATGCCAAGGTTGGGGCGGGCGTTGTGTCACCAGAGCAGGAACACGCGGCTTCGGTGGTGCGTTGGGGCGGGGCGTGACCTCGTGCCGTTCCGCTGCACGCGCAGACCCGGCACTGTCCCTCTGTCTCGCAGGGTGCAGTGGAGTGGTTGGAGCGTGTTCCGGCTGAAAGGACTGGCGCTGGCACTGGGGCGCGGCGTACTTGTGCTCCCTGCACGAGGCGCGTTTCTTGTCTGAGGAATGGGGTGGCTTCCCTTTTCCTTCGGCGGCTGGCGGGCGGGCTTCGCTTCGCCACCGCAACGAGGCTGTGGTCTTTGAGTGTTTGTCGGGGGCGGTGTTGGGGCCACACACCGGCGCAGGGAGGAAAGCGGCAAGGCACCGAAGGCCGCTGCAGAGTCACAGCTTCAGTGCTCTCCTGCACGCAAAGGATGATAACTTGTTTGCCGTGTGCGAGTGAAGGGACAATGAGACAAGCAGCCTTCTTCTTGTGCCCCTCACCGAGCAGCTGCAGCGGGTCACAAGGCTGGACAGTCTGCAGCTCTCCCGTGCCTGCGGATGGGTTGGTTGGTTTTTTGTCAGGCACTGGGAATGCCACCCAATGGGCCGGCGATTGCCGTTGTATGAACGCTGCGGTGAGTGGCGCGGCAAGGATTGCCGACGGCTTTAACCTGACGGGGCCCGCGTCGCGGATTGTGTGGCCGGTGGTTGAGCGGGCGAGGGCGCCGGCGTACAGCTTTGGTGGGCGTGGGCCGGCACGTGCAGGAGCTGAGCCCGAGCTAGGATGGGATGAAGCGCTGGCGGACAGGCGACAGGGGAGGCGTGAGTGCGGCAGCGCCGCCGTGTAGGGAGGGGGCGGCGTGCCAGGTGGCACTGGCGGTCTGGGACGCCAGCGGCAGCGCCTACGTTGACGGCGAGAGGGTGGGGCCGCTGGGGGGCACTCTCGTGCCTGCGTCGGTTCCCGGCAGCACGACGGACGCGGGCGATGGGGCGGGCCGAAGAAATACTGCTGCCGCCGCAGGATGAGTTGGCGCACGTACTTTTTGGGGGCGGCGA